ATCTAGAATCCGGTTTGCCCACCCCAGTTCTATTTTCTATATATATAAATCATTGGCAGTCCCCACCTTAACTTATGGTATGGAGCTATGTGAAAATAATCCTGGTCTGATGAAAAAGCTAGATATAATTGGAAGGAGTGCGCTAAAATCGTTTTTAAATGTTTCAAAACATAGTAAAAACTATATGAATTCGTTATTTAAAATCCAGGAAATTTCAAAAAGTGTTCAACAAAATAAGTTAAACTTGTTCCTTCGACTTCTTAATAACAAAACAACTGCAGACATTATCTTTTCACAACTGCAACACCCGTTATTTCAACATTCGTTTGTTAGTGATATTCAGGAACTATGCCATCTTCAGATATTAAATTTTCAAAACCTAATTCAAAATAAAAAGAAGGTAAAAATACCACTTTCTAAAAGTAAAATTCCTTCCGAAGTTGAACGAAACTTGAAGTATGCAATAGAGTGCTGGAATGCAAAAGAGCAAAGAGGAGTTTTCAAGCAAATTCTGGAAGAAAACTTTTTTAAGCAAAGTCATCCGAAACAACTTTCTTATTTTTTTCTTTTTACCTTGTAAATTGGGTGTTAAATAAATAAAATAATAATAATAATTATATAAAAAAAAAAACTTATAAAATTTTTTTTGAAAAAAAAACATTTTAAACTTTTATGCAGTAATTTTCGTGGCTGGACACATACGATAATATTAGGTAGCTTCTATGATTATAAAATTTATAAAAGTTAAAAGTAACTTAAAAAAGCGTTATATGGAAAAAAATCGGTACAAACTTTTATTAAACTTTTTAAGACTAAATTAAAGCCTTTTATGAATAAATATTTGTAGCTGGACACATACACCATAATTACGTTTTTTATAGCTGGACACATACACCATAATTACGTTTTTTATAGCTGGACACATACACCATAATTACGTAGCTTCTTCTCTTTTTTTGTGTGACTATTTAGGTGCTCCCAGAAGTCCTTGCTCTTATCAGAGAGCACCACAGAAGAGCTTTTAACAACACTACACAACTGAAGAGCTTTTAACAACGCACCACCGAAGAGCTTTTTTCACGCCTCCTCATTTACCAATGTCGTTTAATACGTTAGAGCCGGCATTGAACCTGGGACCTCTTGGTTTTTAGCCAGAACTCTAACCACTGCGTCTCGGCTGTCTTCTAACGATTATAAATTTGCAAAAATTATCATATATAAGTTATTAGCATTAAGATACTACATGTTTTTTTTAGTTTATGTTCTTTAAAAGAATAAAAACAACTAATTTAAATAATTTTTTTTAAGTATACATTTTAGCTTAATAATTTAACTTTACTTCATGTTTACATTTTACATGTTACATGTTTGTGCAATTACAAGTTTGTGCAATTTTTTGCGCTATTACGAGGCGGCAATTTTTAAACTTATTTTGAAACAAATGTTGTTTCAGATATTTAACAAAACTTAACAATGTATCGTTAGTTTCTTCTTTTTATCATTTTTCCTCTTCTTCTATTATGGAATAAACTTAAAATTTAAAAACTTAAACTTAAATATGTCACACAGATTTTATTACTGTTCTATTCACTTTTGTGTTTGTAACATTAAAAGAAACTCCACTTTTAAAAAATAATAATTTTATCTTTGTGATCATGAGCAAATGTTGCTACAAACAAAAGAGTCATTAAAAACATAGTCATCCATATAGAACTAAAGAATAAAATAAATTAGTTTATACCAAAATTATTATAATATTTAATAAATATAACAGACAAATATAAACAGATACATATATTTTTTAAGAAGAGTTTACAAAACTAAACTTGTTAATGAACTTGTTTTATCATAAAATAATATATTAAATAATATTTTAAGAAAATTAAGAATAGAAAAAAACTTGCTTCATTTTTACTTTTTTCTTTTCGTAAAACTTGCTGCGCTTCTTTTTTGTTGCGTTTCTTGTGAGCTTAAACCTATTTGCTTTGATGTTTTAGATCAGTATTTATATATTAAAAAATTTATAGACGTCATCATAAAACAAATTCCTAGTGAATTTTTTACGGAAGATCCACTTTTTGAAAAAAAACATACATATACCTGTTTTTAACAAGGTTCTTGCTTACACACTATACAATGATTTACTCACAACTGTTTATTAATGGTGGGTATTTCCTAAAATATTTAAAAAAGTCTGTTATATTTTTTATTATTATTTCTATTTTAACGTTAGACAAACACAAACTAGTAAAATTTTATCGTGTAAAAAAGGTTTCACAGTTATAGTAATATTTATAGGAAGTAAAATTTGTAACTCGGGAAATTTTAGTGCACTTATGTTAGAATAGATGCTCACAGTTACTGTAAGCAAGTTTTAAACTACTCTAATATAGTATATTAGAATGGTTTAGGATAGTTACAATTCGTATAAAGTAACTTAACACTCACGTGAACTCATGCTGTGGCAACAGTTGCTACAGCACAATAGTTGCCACTTAATAGTTGCTTCTGCACTCTTACTTACTTTCCGTATATTAAATATATATACGTGCAGTAAGTAAGAGTACAGTAGCAACTGTTAAGTGGCAACTATTGTGCTGTAGCAACTGTTGCCAATGCATTAGTGCACGTGAGTATAAAGTTACTTTATACGAATTGTGGACGTTAATCAAAATTTACACACTTTTATTTACCACAAATATATTTTTAACTCACAAATATATACATAATTAACATAAATATATTATTATCTAGCAAGAATATATTCTTGCAAGATAATCGTATATGCAAACAGTTTCATAATTTACTATTATTATTTAAACATTATTGTTTAGAATGTATATATTTTTAACTTACTTAAAAATATTTTTACCTGACATCAACATGTTTTTAACTCAGGTGACTTTTCTCAAACAATAATGTTTAAATAATAAAAATAAATTATAAAACTGTTTGCATTTGTTTTAAAATGGCGTTTTGAATAATCGGATTATATAGAGTTTGGTACGATTCAGCTAAATATTCCTGAAAGGTAGTGTGTGACTCATGTATTGCTATTTAGAGAGGTTACACAGCTGAAGTTACTCAGCGGATAATCAAAAACGTATATTTTAACGCTCAATGAAATCAAAACTAATTGTCGATGGATATTTAAAGTTTTTTGAAATATAAAAAAACTATAACCCTGCTGAACTAAATTTTAGTTTAATGAAATGTTATAGGATTGAGCAATATCTTTTTATAAATACTAGAACCACACCATTCAGGAAAATTTACTTAAGTGAAAATATTTAATTAGAAAATATGGCTGTTTATTAAACATTAGATAAATGTTTTCCATTGAAACTAAGAACTGCATTTTTCAAATACTTTTCATACATTTGATTACTTATTACTCATTTTTTAAACCAATCAATAACAAATTGGGTGTTTTGCCACTTAAAATAACCTTTTAAATAATGAATAATTTTGGATAAACTTTTTGTTTGTTGTCAGACACTTTAGGGCGTTCCTATGCTTCCTTTTAAAAAAAATAGCAAACAGCTTCATGTGTTTGTTCACTAATCTTTGAAGAAAGGACCTGCATTTTAAAATACGATTGTGTAACTTTACTTCACAGTGTCATTTCGTAATGTTTTACCGAGGTTGAATAATGATTTTTAAATAAAGATGCTTTGCAAAAAATTGCGTTGGACAAATAAGGTCTAATATTTTTGCCCTCTCCAACTGCCCAAAATATGAGGGTAACAAGTTGATAAAATATTATTTTTATTATTCCTAATAAAATTTATAATTATTGATAAATTTTAAATTTCGAACACATATCTTTTAGCGTTCAAAAATTATTACTATAAAAAGTTTGAAACCCCCTCAATTTGCGAAGTTTATAAACTTTATGTGGTCATTTTTGAACGCTTAAAAAAAATGCTGAATCCGCGCTTGGTTATAACAATATAAAACCTCCGTCCTCCCCATTATGAGTTGGTTGTAAATTTCACGTTGTCATAGCAACCACTAAAAAATTATTAAATGAAACTTAAATCTATCGATGAATATAAATTTTATTAAGAATAGTAAAAAAAAAATTTTATCAACTTGTTACTCTTATATTTTGGGCAGAGGGAGTTTCGTATAATACATTATTTAAAAGTATTGATAGTACTTTATCAATATTTTTGATAAAATACAACCTAATACTCATAAAAGTACTAGGTTGGTAAAAATCATTTGTATCAAAAACTAGAAACTTGTAAAAGTGCTTACTGCTGATTTTTAAAACCAATCTATAACAAACTTGTTGTCACTTAGAAACTACTTTTTAAATCATAATAATTTTAGATAAACTTTTGATATTATTTTTAAAGTGAAAAAAAACCCGGAAGATCCTTTTGGTTCCATTTTGTTTCAAACTTCACGGTGATTTAAAATGTTTTTATTTCCTCCCGAGATAAGAAACCCGGCTAAAATTACAAAGAAACTGTTTAGCTTTCTACTGTTACTGCTAAGTGGAGCTATTATTCATGATCAGGAGACAGCAGCAAATCAAACAGCTATGAAGATATTATAGATCCAGTTAGCAATTTTACAGATGCGAGAAGACGAGCAACATTAATTAGAAGCAATAATTAGAATGTCAGAAAATGGTTTTATTACGCCACACATCAAGTAGGGTCAATTTATCATTGCTTAGGAAAATGAGTCAGCAGCTTTTAATTATTTTTGAAATTTTCGACAAAGATATTTTTTGGAGCGTAGATTAAAAATATTATAAAATTCAGCATAGTTGACGACAGACAACTAGCAATTGTTTACGGCTCTTTAGGTACAAGCTTTTCGAAACTGAAGGCTATGTTCGCATATATCTTTTTAACTCTCGTAAATTTTTTTCCCCAAAATAAGAAGCAAAATGTCCACATTCTTGACGCTTATCTTGAAAAATTAAAAAAGAAAATGGGAGCTTATTCAAAGGAGCAAACACAGTACAATGAAAACAAGACGAGTGACTACATTTGGATACTGTATTTACAATACACTGGTAAATAAAAAAACCCCTTTGAACCCTCATGAGAAATATTTAGGTTTTTGTCAAATTATCTTTCAAGATTTTTTTTTTATCCAAACCGCACAGACAAAAATTAAAAAAAAAACTTATGCTATAAATTTTGTGCTAAATGTAGCTTTTCCATACAGAACAACTACTACATAAAACTCAGATAAAAAAAGATTGATAGATGAAATCCACAGAATTGGAAAAAGTAGAGTAAAATAAAAACGATGAGAAGGTTAAATTTAAAATTGAACAAGATTATTTTGTACAAAATAATTTTTCAGCAAAATATATTCTATATATAAAGAAATTGATCTATTTCTAAATTATCAAAAAATATATAAAATAAGCGCAAAATTTAAAATAAAAGGAAAATTTATCAAGTGAAAAACATATCAAGAAAAAAAAAATTTTAAACTCTTTTATTTTTATAAAACATATAAAATGCATACTCAGCGCAAAGCGTTCATAATAATACTAATAAGTTTATTTTTACGTAACACAATCGTTTCAGCGTTAAGCAAAGTTTAAATGTGTAAATGTAATTAATTGGTTCGTTACTTAAGAACGTGGGGAAAGACAAAAGCCGACGTTCTGAAGTTTTCTGGTGGTTGAAAAGCCTAAAAAAAAAAAGGACAAACTATAAATAAAACATGCAAATCTTAACCGACACTAGAATAGTGTTTTAAAATATAGTAAATGAAAAATTGGTTTACGCTTTCCAAACACTTTTAAGCAAAATATTACAACAATAACCCTATCACAAACACAACTCTTTTAAATTTTCAAATATACAACTTACAGGGCCGCCAATTTTAGACAGGTACTTTAGACGAAGATCGTGAGCTGATTTAGGTTTAATAGGAGAGGATGAGGTGCCAGGAGGAGGACATGAGTAATAATCTTCCAAAAGAGGTTTTGATTCAGATTTTTCTCTGTGTAAAATAGTAAAAAAGTAATTTTTAGATTTAGTTGTTTCAGCGACATTTAATGTTGAAAGTTAATATTAATATGATGTAAAACATAAAAAAAAACAGCAGCACTTTACTTTTTTTGCAATAAATCCATCTATATAGTTTAGATCGTCATCAGACGAAAAAATATAATTACAAAAATTATTAACCTAAAAACCGTTACAAAATTTAATATATTGAAAACCATAAAGAAGATCATACAAAGATGACGTTAATAAAAATTATCTTCTTATTTGATGACTTTTTTAAATAGCGTTCTTCAGCCAATCTCAAACTGTTGCCTTGTTCAATAGTACCGGGGATAACTTTAAGAGATTATTCTCTTGTAATTAATTAATTGTACAAATATACCAGAAAAAAATGCATTCAATGTACAAGGAGGGTAATATTAAATAAAATAAAAAAATGCATTGAATGCACACAGAGATTAAAAAATCCCTGGTACTATTGAATAGGGACAACAATTTGTGAATTGCCTCAAATAGTTGGAGACCACTATTTAAGTAAAATTAAAAAAACAAGAATTTGTATTTACGTCATCTTTGTATGGTCTTCTTTATGGTTTTCAATGTATTCGAACGGGTTTTATATTAATAAGAGGCTTTCTTCTACCCTATGTACAAAACATACGCAAATCATTATTAAAAACAACAAGACATACATTTTTCTCTCTGACAACTTTTTCCTAACCGATGCACTTCTGTTCAATGAACCATCTGAAACAAAAAAAACATATTAATAACAAAAAGATATTTTTTTAAAATAAAAATTATCTAAATAATAATACTGAACAACTTACCTTTTGCAAGATCCACAAGATACAATATTAAAGTCGATATTAAGGCCACTAGAAATAATATAAATAATAGTAAACACAAATATATAAACAATGCAACTAAAAACTATATTACTATACTTCAGTTTCAAATGTCACGTGTATGTCAAATATCATGCGCATGTCAAATGTCCTGTGCATGTTAAATAGAAAATCTATATTAGGCTGATAGCATATGAAGGAGTAAACTTCAACAAGTGTAACAAAATTACCACAAAGTAAAGCAAGGAAAAAAACTTCAAGAATTAAATATCCACTAGTATCAACAATTTGCCCAGCAATGATTGAAACCACTGCAAGACCCAAATTTTGAATAGACTGCATACTGAAAAAAAAGGAAAAACAAAAACAAAATCAAAACAATTTTATGGAAAATAATCATTGTTAATGTTAAATAACTTTTATATCACAAATAACTTATATTGTGAAAAGATTTTCGTAATTAATTGAAATTTTATATAAATATTAATTAAAGGAAAGAAATTTAGCAAATAAATATCATTTACTTACAATCCATAAGCAGTACCCAACTGATATTCTGGAACAACCATAGCAACTAAAGGCCACAAGGCGCAAGCCACCAAAGAATATCCAACCCCCATTATAGCCTGGAATATAATTATCAAGTTAAGATTATAATGGTATAAGATGAATTAAATTAATCTTATACCAATATATACATATATATATATATATATATATATATATATTTTATATATATATACATACATATATATACATACATACATACATATATATATATATATATATATATATATATATATATATATATATATATATATATATATATATATATATATATATATATATATATGTATATATATATATATATATATATATATATATATATATATATATATATATATGTATATATATATATATATATATATATATATATATATATATATATATATATATATATATATATGTATATATATATATATATATATATATATATATATATATATATATATATATATATATATATATATATATTACAGTGATATTCTTGTCCTTGAACCATTGTTTTACAATTTTTGACATATGTTTGAGGTCATTGTCCTGTTAAAAAATTGATTCCCATTCAGCATGTGGCAACATAACATCTTCCATTATATTTTTGTACACAAAGCAATCCATAATTCCATTAATTTTGTGAATAGGACCAGTTCCTAGTGATGAGAAACATCCCTAAACCATAACAGACATTCCATGCTTAACAATCTTCTTGGTATATTTAGTATTGTATCTGGTGTTCTTTGGTTTTTAGACTCGCTTTCAAAAAGGTTATATTTCGAATCGTCACTAAAAAGTATGTTTTTCCACTGGTCTACAGTCCATTTTTGGTGTGCTTTGGCAAACGCAAGTCTTAGCTTTCTATTTTTAAAAGCAGGTAGTGGTTACTTGGCAGAAAACAATTTTGCTCAGCTAGCTCTTCGTTGCACAGTGCAATCGGAGATTTTTAGTTCAAGTTTTTTGTTTAATTTTGTGGATGACAAAAATGAATCTTTTTTAAGCTCTCTAGCAATTCTTCGACTTAGTCTTTGTGATATTTGTTTAATACAAACAGTGTATTAAAGAGAGATCAAGATATTTTTGTACAACCAGATATGAAGCCAAAACACAAGTATGTGTAAACTAAGCTTTAAAAAGGGTTATTAAAAGCTTTTGAAAGTAGAGATTATAAAATGTGGAAAATTTTGTATACTACAGTCACACTAAGCGTGACTATAATATACCTATGTAATTATGAATTTGAGGCTCCAGTAAGGAGCTGTTGAAAATAGAAGAAATTTCAATGATTGAAAGAGTTTAACACAGAGCCATGAAAAGCGACTAGTTAAAAATGGGTTTAACAACTTTAAATCTTAGAAAAAAATGTGAAGAATTTATTAACTTATACAAAATAATAAAAATGTTTAGAAAAAGTCAATTTGTGTGTAAAGCCAATCTTTAGTTCAAATGCTAATTTGTAGGTCCATGTTCTTTAACTATAACACGACCAACTAGAACAAAATTTTTTAAACGCTGGGGATTTTAAAACTTCCTTGGTATTTTTTCAGATATAATAGCTAATAATCAAATAATCTATTCAGCTATTGTTATTTGTTAATAAGGCGTCTAAATAATATTAGGCAACACCATGAACACTAAACACGAAATAAATGTGAAAGATAAAATGTGATTTTTTTTTAGTGGTTGTATTAATATTAAAATTACATTAATACAACCAATTTTTTTTGTTTACACAATGTGGCAGTTTCAAAACTAAGTTTTAGTTTTCCTATTTAACTTCAAATTAATTTTGAAAATGGCAAAAGAAAAAGATGTTAGAGAAAAAATTATGTACAAATATTTAGAGAAAAAATTATGTACAAATATTTTAAAGATCTATAAGAATCTGCAAGGCAATAGCAAAAGAGTTGCATACACATACTACGCATACCTACACAGTTAGTCATGTTATTTAGCATTTTTTCTAGCAAAATTGATCAAATGCATGATAGAAAATTACTTAGAAAACCGATAATAAATTTTAAGATTAAACTTCTTAATGTAACTTCTTATGTATAACTAAAAATTCTTATAACATTTAATAAACTTTTAGTTGAGGTTTTCTGATCAAAAATTGAAAAAATAAAATAAAATAAACGGTTACTAATATCCAAACCGCTGATAAGTTAACTTTATTGTTAATAAACAGCGGTTCATGTTAAAGTTTTAAAATTTTATTAAAGTTATTTTAAACTATTTTTTTATAACTTAGTAAATATGTACAGTTTTTTAATTTATACATTTGCTCTCTTTTTTTTAATTTATATATTTATATAGTTTCTCTCTCTCCCTCTAACTATAAAAATAAAAACAAAATAAAAAAGATTTCACATTTTAAAATTAAAGAGGCTTAACACATTATTATCATCCTCACATATAGTATTTCACTGAATGTTTTTTGTGAAAAAGTTATTGTGATTTTATTTTTTCTATACATACGTTGATCATTTTTTTTGTTGAAACAGAAAAATTGTTACATTAAAGTCTAACATAGAATTAATATATTTGACATACCTATCTCCCTGTGATTTGTTGAAACTTTTTTACAGCCTTAAATTTAAAAAAACACTTGGAGAAATGTAACATAAATGTCATCTTTGTTAAAATGCTTATGTTACATGTTTACAGCCTTAAAATTTAAAAAACACCTGGAGAAATGTAACATAAATGTCATCTTTGTTAAAATGCTTATGTTACATGTTTACATAACCAATTAGACAAATCTGTGAATCTAACAATGTAAAGAGAAAAAAAAAATTATTAGATGTTATTAAATTCAGACTTTTTATTTAAGAATAAATAAAAAGGAGTGACAGTTCAAATAAATAATAAGGAGTGAGAATTCTAATACATAAAAGAGGTGAGAGTTCTAATGAGCTCAAAGTATGTGGAAAAAGTGTGCATATTAATTTTTTTTGCTCTAAGTGTAATTTCTAAATAAGTTACTTAGAATGGTCATTATTGAATAGACTTATTAACACTGGTATTTTACAGTCTTAAGTAATGCTGAGCAAAATTGTTTGTTTAATATTGCAGGACACGAAATTTCTAGCATTATTTGTTTTGACCCTATAGACTCTAAACAAATAATGATTCAATAACAAATAAACAGAGAAAATGCTGATTATACTAATTTTGTTAAAAACCAAGAGCTCAAAGTGGGAAGTTTATAAGAACTATATAAAGTAAATATAAATCTTTTTTATTTAGGAAAATAAAAAAATTCTTGTGAACTAAACAGCAAGAGTGTGACAATGCATTTAAAGTCTAATCATTTGGAGCTGTAATTAAAAATGTTTGTTACATAAGAAAAATGTTCCTATATTCTTTAATAAATATGTTACATCTGCTTAAAAGATTTGGGTCTCATATTAGTTTAACTGGAAATATTATCATTTTTAGTAGCTAATATTAAAGCATCAAATAACTGGAGACCACTTTTAAAAAAATAATTGATATATCAAAATAGTTTTCACCTTACATTTGTGATACTCTTATTTTATTTTATGTTTGACAACGTCCTGAGCTAATCAGACTGAAGTATCACATGAATAAATTAAAAATTAATTAGTACTTTGCTGTGCTTTATGTTATTCTATATTAAATAAAATTTAGTTAAAGAACAAATTTATAAAAAAATTGTAAAAAAAAATTCAAATAGTTTTGATTGTTATTCTGTCCACAAACCTGTGTACCAAGTCTGAAGAATTATTAGATCCTCACAGGAATAAATTAATTTCTTCAAATTTTTTTTAACTTTTATATTACTGCATTGAAATAACTATTTAGTCTTAACTTTGTGTTTTTATTACTTTCAGTTTTATAACGTGTGCAGGCATTACTAAACAATATGCAATATACGCTTTAAAACTTTTCAAAAGATTTTTTGGTTTTAAATATACTAAAATAAACAAAAACCTTTATTAAAAAGATAATTTAAATTTGTTTAATTAAAAAAAACTTATTAAACCCACTTATTAACAAGTTTTAAGACAAGTTTTAGTAGATCCACTATTTTTTTATGCTTTCTTGCTAGTTCTCAAACCTTTTTTTTTGAGTTAAGAATAAAAACTAAGAATTAACTAGTTTTGAGATCAGGACAAGTTTCAGTAGATCCATTATATTTTTTATGTTTTCTTGCTTGTTCTCAGACCTTCTTTTTTGAGTTAGGAATAAAAAAAGAATAATATAAGCAGACAACAGTGTAACACTCTATTCCAGTCTCAACTCCAATTAATCTAAATAATTTAGTATATAATTGCAAACAAGGCTGATATACAAAAATGACCTTTGCCATACTTACATATTTGGTATAAAACATAATATTGATTTTTTCATATGATTGGGACCATGGGAAATATATTTGTTTGAATATTTTATAAATACAAAATATTAAAACAAAAAGAAAAGATTAATTGTGTTACCATTGCAGCAAATGGTGATATAAATGTGAATGCAAGTATTCCATGAGCAGATAATGTGAGAAAAATTCCAAAAATTACTATAAAAAAAAAAAATTTAAATTAATTGTGTTAAAAATAAAAATTAAAAAACATTAAAAAACAAACAACTAAACAATTTAAAAATACAGCACTATGTTAACCTATGGGTTGTCAAAACCAGTTAACCTGTGTTAAACAAAAAGCACACTTGTCAGTGCATTATTGTAAAAAGTTAAGTCAATGACAAGTAAAAAATATTTGATTCACCAGACAAACAAAAAAGATAACAATTACAAAATATTTTAGCTGCCTTTTATAAATTTTTTAGCTGACCTTTAACAATAATAAGTTTAACAATAATAAGAAAATTAACAGCAATCAAATAAAAACTATGATATAATATCTATATACTAAGTTGTCAATAAAAACTACAATGATTTATATCTGATACACTACTATATATTAAGTTGTTAATAAATAATACTAACAGTTAAAGACATTGTAGCCAACTTTGTCAACATACAAGCCAAATACAGGAGAAGCAGCAGCTGATATAAGAAAAATAAGACTAAAAAAAGATAAAAAATTATAAAATCTTTGTAATAGTTTTTAGATAATAGAATTATGTAATAGTTTTATAAAATTTTATAATATATATTTTTAATTCTTTTATTTTTAATTTTAATATATAACTTTATAACATTTAAAATAACTGACAAACTGTTTTGATATTATTATTAAAGTTAAAGTAATTATGTCTAAATTAGGCCCAAAGTACAAACACAACACTACACAACACTACACTTGAAACACAAGCTATACCAAACTATAATGCGTTAAAAAATACTTTGAAATAAAGTAAAGTTTGTGAGACAACTAGAAAAGATTTAATGAAAACATCAATAATAAAATAGCTGCTTTTCAGAGACGATAGCTCTGATGACAAGGAAATTATGACTGATGTTATAACTGACGAAGCGAGAAGGAACAAAACTGAACTGAATTTAGCACAATAACTTGAACTTTTTATTGAATAATCTAAATTTTGAAATAAAACTTGGTCATTGGGAAATCAGATCAAATCTTGTTAAAAAAGAAATTTTTGAAGCCAGACAGGCAAGACCTAATTATTTAGAACTACTTTTAAAGCTCTTCAAACAATTACTTTGAGAACTTTTACTAGTTAATTTTTTAGATGACAAAACTTTAGATAAAAATGAAAAAAAAAACTATTAAGCCCAACATACGAGTAATGCCTTTCAAACTGTACATATAAAAAAACCCTGACAAGTATGACATGTATTTGTTCAAGCCAAATATCCTTTCTTCCTCATGGATCAATTTTAAAATAACTTGATATATGGATCATTTCTACTATTACACAAGCTGATCATTTGCATTTGTTCACACTGATAACACTTTTAGAATTACAATGAAGTTTTCCCAATAATGTTAAAAAATGGTTAACAAACTGAAGGTATAATAAATATTGAGTTTTTTTAGTTTGTAAAACAAACTTTGATTTCATGTAATTTTAAAAATATTATCATGCAATAAATGCAAAAATGACATGATAAAACTAACAATCTAAAATAAAGAATTAGTTTACATATCTATACATACAGAAAGGTTATTGGTTATTATAATAAAGAAATACAAGCTACAAGCTCCTCAAGAACAGAAACAATCAGAAAAGTGCAAAAAAGGAGAAAGAGGGGATAAAATGCAGAGGAAAAAGTGCAAAAAACTTATTTAAAAAAAAAATAAGTATAAAACAAGCTGCAAAAAGAAGAGTTCAAAAAATAAAAGAGAAGAGAAGAGTTAGAGAGAAAAAAATAATTTTTCTATATTGTATTCATTTAATTATTGGTTCATTTTTTATATAACTATTATAAAACTATAAAAATGTACCCCGCACCAAGTCATTGGTGCACCAGGTCCATTTTAAAAAGTTGGAATAAAAGCTTGTGAAATCTCTAGCACTGAATTGTTTTCACAAAATAATGCTGATTAATTTGCACTAATTAAGTTTGCTTAAACTTAAATCAATTCTTTTTTTAATATCAGATTAAATCAAATTACGAAAACTAAAATGTTAACACGATGTCCGCAAAAATTCTTTTGCCCTCAAGGTTCTTAATATTTGGAATAACTAACCATCTGACACCGTTAATGACAAAACATCAAGAGCTTTAAAATTAAAACTGTTTATCAACTTTGAAAATAAAGTTCCAGCTAAATAACTTTTGTTTTATAATTGTGGTATTATATATAGTATATATATTTTCTGCAATTTATCACTAAATAATTGCTAATATGCACTAATTAATTAAAAGTTATGTTATGAATAATGAAAGATTAGGAGATATATTTATATAGTAAATATATCTATATAGATGAATATAATTATATAGTAAATTTATTATCGTTATTAAATAAATCTTTAAACGATTGTTTACAACAAACATGTAAGAAATCTTACATGTTTATTAAAAACAGTTGTTTATTATAAAGACTATTGAAAATGTTTAGTAATTGCAAATGAAAAGCGTATCTGAATCCATGATTGCGTCAAACTCTTTAATATAAGTTTCATCATCAGAAGCTTTTGTTTGCTTTTTTTTTTTTTGGAAGAGGGTGATAAAATAGAGTTACCGATACTTCCTATTCGAAACCTTCCTTTAGTATCAATTTTCTCCATTTGGTCTTTTATATAGTAACATTTTCATTATAAACCACAGTCAAGTAATGTAAAGTTTAACTTCAAATAAATTACTTTCAATTTTCATAACTTTTTTACTACCAAAACAACTACAGTAAAATCTGCACATTTAAACAACCTGAGCATTTGATATTCCTGTCATCACAAGGAAGAGCTTCAAGCTTGCAGTTACATGCTAGCAATTCGAACAATTTTTATTTATTTATTTTTTTACAAACTTTTTGGTTAAAGGTTTAACCTTATTTCCATTCCAAGAAAAAAAGTTGTTTTAAAATTTTAACAGTTTCACAACCAAACTTTTTTTAGATAACAAAACTGAACTGCATCTGAACTAAATTTCTTTTAAACTTCGTAGTTTAAAAGAAAATCTTTGAATAATAGTATTTTTGTCTTTAATGCCATCTAAATTTCTCAATTTGTAGACAAAATCTTGCTACATCACCCTAAGTTTCTAGGTCTGTAATAGGAAGATCGGAAGGTCTTCCATCATATAAATTTCACTGCCTAGTTCTTCTTAAAGTAGGCATTTAGGTATTCTTGTGATAAATTTGGATTTTTTCACCAAAAATCATTTCTTAATATCCTAATATTATCTTAATGTTATCTGCCAATGTTATCTCTTTTGTCTTGAATTTTTTTGTAACTTTATTTTTCACTAAAAAAAAAATATATTTTTTTGACCAAGGCAAGTTGCAAGGTTAATACCTAAAACACATAGATGTACTAAAGAAAAAGGAAAATATCCTACTGAATTTAGATGTGATATTCTCAAAGTGATGAACCCATCGAGAAATTATAAATGTTTAAAGTATAAAAAAAAGTTATATACAAATCTTTATTTAAGCTATATATGTGTAAATTACTATATTATTTTAGGTAAAGAAAATGGAAAATTGCTAATAAACAATAGGAACAAATCATATTGTTAAACTATAATGTTCATTTCACCTGAAAAACATATTAATTTAAAATCTTATTCAAATTTGATTGTGATTTTAACATGATTCTTTTTTTTTAAAAAAGAATCTTAGGTCTGGGTTTTTTTGCTACAAACATATTTATATTTTAAAATACCGCAAAATTTATCATTTAAATTTTTTCGTCTTTTCATAATTCATAGACCTGACCATTTAATGGAAATATGCCGTAGTCAACAAAATATCATACAGACACTATAATATTTTACGTATTAGAGATATTTAATGCAGTTTAAAAATGTCATACCTGTTAACTGTAGTAGCATCACGTTCTATCATATCGTACTTTGCTTGAAAATATACTCTAAAAAATAAAAAACATGTTTAAGAAAATATTAAAATTCAAAAATCATCTTAATCATTTAATTATCATATTTATAACTCACTTCTCCAAATACTATTATTGTAGGCCAAAACATACAAGCACATAATTACCAAAAACACAAAATTAAAAAATATGACAACTTCAGTTATTTATTAATAGTTACTAAATATAAATATATATATATATATATATATATATATATATATATATATATATATATATATATATATATATATATATATATATATATATACATATATATATATATATATATATATATATATATATATATATATATATATATACATATATATATATATATATATATATATATATATATATATATATATATATATATATATATATATATATATATATATATATATATATATATATATATATATATATATATATATATATATATATATATATGCATATGCAGTGAAAAACCAAAAATTTATTTGGTGATTCCATCATTTATGGGGATATGGGGGAGGGGGTGGGGAAGGTCTTGCTAAACTGGTGATCTTGCTTAACTGGTGATCTTGCTAAACTGGTGCTACGACAATGAACTTTAAATATTAATTTGCTTTTGTTCACCTGGTTTAGTTTTACCTTAAGATAAGGAGTTGATTTAAAACAGCATTTTGTTGTAGAAAGCATATCTTTGAATACATTGTTTAGCAGTGATTGTGCTTTGTTGTAATAGAAAAACTATTTTATTTAACTTCTATGTAGTAAATATTTCTCTATTTGGAAATATTTATTAAAAACTGTTCATAGTATTTTAAACATTAAAATTATAACATTTAAAAATTATTTTAGTAATTTAAATAAATGTCTAAAATACTTTAAATAATTTTTAATTTAAAAAAAGCAAAGTAGAATTTTCAAAATTAAAATAATAGTACACTTATTGTTACAACATTTAAATAATAGTAATTACACTTATAAAATGCATCTTGTAGTCCAATAGTTATTTTCTATATATAATATAACATAATATATAGAAATTTTATTTCTATTTACATTTCTTTCTATTTTTATTTCTAATTTCTATTTTCTATATATAAAATAACATCTTATTTAGACAATAACTATTTGAATATAAAACATAAGCATTTAATAAGCGTATTTACTGTTATTTTAATTTTTATCTCAATTTAAATATTAGCAATTCTGTTCGTATAACTTTTACTAAAAATTAATAATTTTTACAGTGCACCTTTTTTGATTATTAAGTTTACCATAAAAGTAATTATGGTAAACTTAATAATCAAAAAAATATGTAATCAAAAAATCTGCGTACATTGAATATTTATTTAAAGTGTTTTTTCAATTTTTTTTTTTTTTAATTTTCAGTAAAGGTAACTAAGGATTTTTTTAAAACTTAAAGAGATTGAAGTTAGAAAATATAAAAACTATAAAAATAACTAAAACTTAGTAAAACTTTTATAAAGTTTATGTAATAGTTATTTTCATTAATTTTTATTAGGTTTATTCATTTTTATTATTATTAAAAGTCGAAAGAATAAAAAGAGAAACAAAACTATATATATATATATATATATACATATATATATATATATATATATATATATATATATACCTATATATATATATATATATATATATATATATATATATATATAAATATATATATATATATATATATATATATATATATATATATATGTGTGTATATATATATATATATATATATATATATATATATATATATATATATATATATATATATATATATATATATATATATATATATATATATATATATATATATATATATATATATATATATATATATATATATATATATATATATATATATGTATATATATATATATATATCATTATATATACATTTGTCAAATAAACACATTTTTAAATACATAATAAACCTTTACTTAATTAGGCTAATGCATTTTTTATAAACAATTAAATTATGAAAGTTAAATAAATTTAATGATACATGATATTTGTTACAGGATTGTGCAAATTGGATTACCCTGTACAACTAATACTCATAACACTACCCTATAGGATTGTACAACTAATACTCATAACACTACCCTATAGGATTGTACAACTAATACTCATAACACTACCCTATAGGATTGTACAACTAATACTCATAACACTACCCTATAGGATTGTACAACTAATACTCATAACACTACCCTATAGGATTGTACAACTAATACTCATAACACTACCCTATAGGATTGTACAACTAATACTCATAACACTACCCTATAGGATTGTACAACTAATACTCATAACACTACCCTATAGGATTGTACAACTAATACTCATAACACTACCCTATAGGATTGTACAACTAATACTCATAACACTACCCTATAGGATTGTACAACTAATACTCATAACACTACCCTATAGGATTGTACAACTAATACTCATAACACTACCCTATAGGATTGTACAACTAATACTCATAACACTACCCTATAGGATTGTACAACTAATACTCATAACACTACCCTATAGGATTGTACAACTAATACTCATAACACTACCCTATAGGATTGTACAACTAATACTCATAACACTACCCTATAGGATTGTACAACTAATACTCATAACACTACCCTATAGGATTGTACAACTAATACTCATAACACTACCCTATAGGATTGTACAACTAATACTCATAACACTACCCTATAGGATTGTACAACTAATACTCATAACACTACCCTATAGGATTGTACAACTAATACTCATAACACTACCCTATAGGATTGTACAACTAATACTCATAACACTACCCTATAGGATTGTACAACTAATACTCATAACACTACCCTATAGGATTGTACAACTAATACTCATAACACTACCCTATAGGATTGTACAACTAATACTCATAACACTACCCTATAGGATTGTACAACTAATACTCATAACACTACCCTATAGGATTGTACAACTAATACTCATAACACTACCCTATAGGATTGTACAACTAATACTCATAACAGAACCTTCCAATACCTGTATAAATTAATTGATCTCCAGTTGTTTTTTTTACAATACATATAGTACTAATGATAACTTTAAGTTCTCAAAATAACTTTAAGTTATTTAAAGATTATTGTAAAAATATTCTTATGAATTATTAATGAGATTTTAATATCTCACTTTTGCTTTTTAGCATTTCATTGTTGCTTTTAAATGTCTCTATGCTACAATGCAATGCCTACATTACTTTGAGATCACAACTCCAAAATATAATAATACTACTAAAAGGAAAGAGAAATGATTTTTTATATTTCACTTCTACGCTCTTTTAAAAGACGATAACAATTTAGCAATTAAATTTAAGTTTAATTTCTTATTAAATGACATTTTAATTTTCTAATTTCTAATCTATTTTTTTGCATTTATTTTATTTTATATAACAAAAATAAAATTTATAAAATAAAAGCATTAACAAAAAATCAACTTAAATATGTTTTCTTTGTACTATTAATAACAACCTCTCAAAGAAATTGCATATCTCAAAAACCTAAGATAAGCAACTAAGCTCTTATTAACAAAAAAAAGTTATTTTTATAAAATGTAAATATTTTTTGCTATAAAAATTCAATGTAAAAACATTTTTTTAAAAATAAAACATTTTTAAAAATAATAAAAATATAAAATTAATAAATTAGTAAAAATAAATAAACACAAAAAAATAAGTAGTAAACTTACAATCCCAAACTAATAAATGGAAAAACAGCAACATAATATGCGACACAAATTAGAAATATTAACCACACAGAAAGAGGAAAATCCTTAACATCAGTTAATCGAATCACCTCACCTTAAACAAAAAAACAAAATATTAAAAAAACATTAGTAAATATTAAACGATATTATAAATATTTAATAAATTATAGTTAAACAATGCAAAATAAAAAAATTAATACTTTATCCTTATAAAGATTTTTTTTTAATATATATATTACTTTATAATTTATAAAGAGTTTTAAGTTCTTGATCTAACGCTAAAAACAATTTTTATAAAAAGAATTTTAAAACTTGTGTTATTTAATTATATAGAACACATTTTGGTGAGAAGATTGTTTTCACAAATGTTGTTCAAAGTGCCACCCTAATGAAAATCTATCAATTTTTTTTTTTAAACTAAACCACTTTCAACAAGGCTCTAAGCAATCATTGTTAAGTTACTATAGTTACTAAAAAACAAATAAGTGTTAGAAAGCAAGAAAACAATTATCAGAAAACTTTAAAAAAATTTAGGTAGTATGAGTCAGGAAAACATGAAGATGAGAGACAGGTGTATGCATTAAAGTGCAAAGAAAAAACTAGATAAAATTTTTTAGGGCATGGCGGAACATACACAGAAAAAGGATACAACTTTGTTGGACGACAAGTTAAGCAAGTATGAGTTTTGTTTGATGAAACAAGTGATGATGCTCCTTTGAGCAGCAACCATGATAGTATTAGTAGAAAAGAGAAAGTGATGCAATCTTACCACAATTATAAGGCTCAATCTTGGCATATAAAACAGGTCTAACTACATTTACAATGGGTTTTTGGACAAAAAAAGAGCATTATTAGAAGAATGAGCCAAAATATAGATACAGGGACGCATAAGAGATTTGTTGAGGTAGAGTAAGATAATGGCTAGCCCAATAAAGAGTAACAACCTTAGCAGATGCTATCTTTGCAACTAATTGTTTCCATGGTTTCCATGAGAGGTCAGTAGTAAATGATAATCCAAAAAAACATTAGGAATAGGACTCAGTGAGAGGATCGCCATTCATTAATATAGGAATGTTGACAACATTGTGTTAGTTGTTTACAGTAAACAACTGAGTTTTGTTGGAGTTAAAATTCACAAACCAATGCAAGCCCCAAGCTGTTACAGAAGAGAGATCAGTTGAGTTGTCAGCAAATAAAACCACTTTAGATGTAAGATTGTCAGTATGATCATTAATGTGAATAAAAAAAAAACAGGAATCAAGATAGAACCTTGAAGTACCCCAGAGGTTTAGTAAGTGACCGGGGCCCCAGTTAAAAATAAGACTTTTTAAAAACACTCTAGTTTTATGGCTTTTATAAGTTTTCTAAAAGCGGTAAAACTAGAATAGTCACTATTCCTGGAAAAATATGCAATTTAGGATTGCATGCATTTTTAGAGTTTCTTTAGATGGGCAATATTTATATGTAGAAATTAGCAAGGTAAAAAAAGTTCAATTTTAACTTTATTAGCTTATCGATTAGCAAGATTTCTTTGAAAATATATGAATAATTAGCAAGATTTCTTTGAAAATATATCTTTCTCTATTTACACTTATTAATATCTTCACTTTAATGAAAGTTTTTTTAAATTAAAAACCACCATAATTAAATATGATTTGAAATTTTGGATTCTTCCGCAAACAAATTTGAATTAAAACTCAAGGAAAGTATGAATATATAGAGTGAAAAAAAAAACAGTATTTATAAACAAGTGAACCATGTAAAAATGACACTTACTCATAAACTTCAATAAAATAAAATAATGAAACAAAGTTAGTGTTTATTATTAAAAATTAAGGAAAATTAATTTGATTTTTATTTCTTGCAATTTTAGTTAATCCCCTACCTTCTAACCATAGTAGGCTTACTGACAATATGTAGCAATATGTAGGTAACATATTGTTACCAACCAAATTTATTGTTACTGACAATCCAGTGATAGAAGCCACAACCCTTGGAATTAGAAAAAATAAAAAATAATATCATTTTAGGTCTAAAATCAATTTTGAAATGTTCGAATAATCAACAAATGTGCAAAATTTTAGCATAAAATTAGCAGAAAAACAAATACAGAGTTTTGCCGACTTCTTTCAAACTCTTTTTTTCAAAAATTTGCAAGTTTTCCTTTTTTTATATTTTTTTAAATTACTAAAACCTTAATTAAAACAATTAAGGTTTTAGTATTTTTAAATTAAAAAACAATTGAAATTAATTAAAAGGTTTGTATTTTTTTTTTAACATCTTCACTTCCAACAAGGCTGCAAACAACCACTATTAGATTTGGAAGTTACTGGAATAGAAAAGATGAAGTTTATAGAGCAAGATAACGATTAACAGATGATTTAAAAGATTGCAAATTATATAAATCAGGAAAACAAGGCAAAGGGATAGGATAAGACTTAACTGAATCATGAGTAACAAGAGAATGAATTTTAGTGGATAGCACAAGTGATGCTAGCTCTTTAGAGCAGTGCTCATTATAGTATTTATAGAAAAGAAGAGAAGCAACATCAAAAGTAGGCCCAATTATGTTTACAATGCGTTTTTGCACCTTGTCTAAAAGAAAAAAGACATCATTCATAAATCTGCCCCAGATAAGGCAACAGAATTGCATACAAGGACGGATTTGAGATTTATAAAAATAAAGAATAGAATCTGGAGTGAGAAAGTGGCGAGCAAAATAAAAAGATGCAACTTTAGCAGATGCTAATTTTACAAATGATTTTATATATGGTTTCCAAGAAAGTTCGGAAGTAAGAGTTAATCCTATAATGTGAAGGGTAGATGACTCATCAAGTACCTCACCATTCATAAATATAGGAAGATCTAGATTATTGCGATAATGATTAGCTGAAAAAAATTTAGCTTTTTTAGTTAGAGTTAAAGTTCACCAGCCACTGAGAACTCCATGCTGTAGCAGAAGTGAGATCCTTTTCAAGTTCAAATGCTCCCTTTAAGTAATCAGAGAGTGTTAGCTTTTTATCAAGACAAAAATAAATGGTAGTATAATCAGCAAACACTCCACCTTAGATGTGAGAATTTCTGGGAGATTGTTAATGTAAATTTAAAAAAATATAGGGCCAAGGATAGAACCTTGAGGAACCCCTGTAGTTACAGGATATGAAGAAGAGTGCTGTCCATCGAGGAAAACTTTTATACTATGAATTCAAATTTATTTTGCCTTTTTGATTTAATTATTTTATTAGTAATTTAAAAAAATGTTTTTTTTTTTCCTTTTTCTTTTTTTCTTTTAATTATTTAACATAAAATTATTATGTTTGTTTTTTTGTTATTATTTTATTTAGAATTTAAATAAAATGTTTGACTGTTGTGTTTTTAAACTAAATTGTTCAGAATTTGAATAAAATGTTTGACTGTTGTGTTTTTAAACTAAATTGTTCAGAATTTAAATAAAATGTTTGACTGTTGTGTTTTTAAACTAAATTGTTCAGAATTTAAATAAAATGTTTGACTGTTTTGTTTTTCAACTAAATTGTTCAGAATTTAAATAAAATGTTTGACTGTTGTGTTTTCAAACTAAATTGTTCAGAATTTAAATAAAAAGCTTGTTTTGCTTTTTTTATAATGTTTAGATATTAAATAAAATGTTATTTTTGTTTTTATTATTTTGTTTAGAATATTATTTAAAACTTGTTTTTACTAATAATAATAATACTAATAATAATACTTTAATTATTTAGAATTAAAATAAAACATTTGTTTTTCCCTTTTATTTAATTTATTTAATTTAGGAAAATAAAATTAATTTAAAAATTCTGAGGTAGGCATTTTTTTTGCGAAACTCAGATGCTGTAAGGTCGGGATTGCCAAATCATGACCCTAATTCCAAGTGCTGTAGCCAGCTAGATACTTATTTATAAAAAAAATAATTTTGGCTGGCCGGCTTATCTTCCTTCTAATGTTACAAATAATTAATAACTAGATTTTTATTAAAAAATTCAAGATAAACTTGACATTAGTTTTTAAAAATTTTGGTACGTAAGAATATTGTAGTCAGAGTTGGGGTCAAATATGCTTTTGTATTTGAATTTGTATTTGGTAAAAATGGGCTATTTTGGTATACTTGTATTTCTATTGTATTTGATAAAATAATTTTTTAAATATTTTTATTTGTATTTGTATTTGATTAAAATGTATTTGCAGTTTTATAAACTAGATTAAAAAGTATTTATTTTATTTTATTTGGTAGACAGTCTTGTCTCAAAAAAATCTTTATATTTTTTCATAACCTAAATTACAAATATTTGTATTTGCATTTGGAAAATGCCAATTACATTTGTATTTGAATTTGTATTTGTAGTTGTATTGGATCAAACATATTTGCCTCCAACCCTGGTTGTAGTTAAGCAATTCAGTTTGTCAGTTTCAAAAACATTCACAAATGACAACAGTATTAAGTTAACAAAAATCACAAAAAAATGATTAATTAACATACAACATTAATTCTAAGATATTTTTTTATACCTGTTTTTGCATTTGATTTGTTCAATAATCTAGCTGCTCTTTTGTCAAAGTAAGCCATCACCAAAGCACTAATAAGAGATAGGATACAAAATACGCAACCTAGAGTAAACAAATTTGATTTAAAAAGATAACAACACATTTATATATATATATATATATATATATATATATATATATATATATATATATATATATATATATATATATATATATATATATATATATATATATTAGGATGGGTCGAAATGTAAAAAATATTAAATTGGAGATCCTGTACATGTCTAAAAAGTTGCGTTTTGATGTACTTGTTTAAAAAAACCTCACTTTTTATTTTATGGACAGTGTCTACAGGTCCCAACTCTGACTAGAAAGACTACATAAATACCCAATGTTAGTGTATTGCAATGTATTACAAATTAAAAAGAATGTAAACTGTAACGAATCAATGTTAAACAGCAACAATACAAAGTTGTTTAACCTAACTGTTAATAAAATCTTTCTTGCTGTCTATTTTTGGTATCTCTAATCTGGATTTCTTACTCTGTAACACCATGCCATGACAGGACTTTCTCCCATAAACTTTACAGCTCGCAGCGCTAACGTCTTTAATTGTTCTCTCTACTGCCTGTGAATAACATGGAACATCAGGCAGTAGTAAGTAGTATCGGATGCGTGTAAGTAAGTTGATCATTTGAAAGGTGTGATAGCATCGGAGGAGACGTAACATTACTCTGGTCCCAGTCAATCATGTTAATGAACGATGTTGCAGCCAGATTTAATGTTATATCCTTGTTATCAAAGACGCGAATCGGTATGTTACTTTTAGTCTGCTTCTCTCTGGCTCTTATTATTTGTTCTACTGAAAAACAACGAATTTCCATATCACTATCACTAAGTGCAGCTAACAGAATGTTTTCAGCATGCGCAAAGTAGCAGTTATTTTTGAGAACAGGACGAACCACAGCCTGATCTAATGCATCAAGTTCCTGAAACAACTGAACTATGTAAAAGAAGTTGTTAGCACCATTTTGGCAAGAAGAATTTGATTTGATTTTGAACCAAGAGGGTCCAGAAAAGTTCAAAATGAAATGCGTTACTTTTCTGAGAGGTTTAGATGCCACCTCTCTAGACATGTAGAGACGCAAAATCCTGTTGGCCTTGTCAACCACCGAGCATGACTTATATTTCCAGGTAAACTCTTCTCGAGGAAATGAATATCTGTAGAAGCCTGACGTCCACGCTGTACTGCTAGACATGCTTTCAAAAAGTACAGTTGGTCTGTGCTAAGATCCTTCTTGACAGCTTCATCACAATCAGTCACCTTACCAGTAAATGGCAAATAATTAACAACAGGCAATTCATTCGGATCATATTCTAGAGCTGAGCTAATTGTACCTGTCAATGTGGAAGGTCCTGTAGTTCGAGCAAAATCCACGCCTGCCAAAAACCTTTTAAGTGGCAGCTCATTACAGTGTAGAAGGCATACAAACCACTGTAATGGTCTACCTAAGTTCTCCTCCAATTTTCTTATGATTCCGTTGCTTTTACCTGTATTATTATTTGTGCCATCACATACAACACCTTGAATGCTTTCTACAAAGTCTGTCTCTATAATAACTGACATTAACTCCTTTGTTATATCAGCAGCTTTACTACTTTCAGAAACTACATGATCGATGTATATGTTTCCTGGATACGAGACAACACTATAGTGTTCTTCTTTTTTACTTCTTCTACAACCAAAACTCTCAACTAATGTGACGTCTTGTTTTCCATCAAAGCCTATACAGCACAATTCCTTATTGCTCTGCATATGTTCTTCAACCAGAGTATCTCTCCAGAAATTCTTTTGTCGACGTAGCTTTGAAGGATCAAGAATTGTTGCTGAAGACAACATACTGAGGTCTTTTAAAACAGCATTAACAATAAGACATGTATCTCTGTTGCTAATTTTGCATCGATCAACTGCTTTACATAATTCCTTGTACTTGTTTCTGTTCTGCACTGATACTGTCTCTTCCTCTGATGTATAATTACTTTCAGACATGTTACGCTCATCCTCATCAATATCTTCTTCAGTTTCATATTCAACCTCTTTTGACTGTGCTTCATCACACACTGATTTCATAAATTTGCGTTTTTGTCTCTTTTCCAGTGTTGCTGTTGTTTCTTTGTCTAACTCCACCAATTATCATATTTCTAACAGTTTTCTGGTCAACCCAGAAATCCCACTCTATCAATGGAATTTTATTTGGCAGTGGGCATGTGCATAAGTTCCTATCTTCCTATCCCAAATCAAAGCATTTGCAGGTACAAATGTCAAATAACTGCTTAAAAGAATTCAACTTCTCAGTGAACGTGTCTGATGTTCTTTTTGCATTGGAATATTTTTCAAGTGTATGTACTTTATCCATAAGTCTTCTAATCCTAATGATTGTGCTATTCACTTCTATTGTGGGAATACTTGCTTTTGAATAAAATTGAATATCTTTCTTGCAATATATATATATATATATATATATATATATATATATATATATATATATATATATATATATATATATATATATATATATATATATATATATATATATATATATATATATATATATATATATATATATATATATATATATATATATATATATATTTAGTTTGTCATCTAAATTTACAGTTTGTGGTAAAAGGCAGTTCTTAATGACTCTTTGTCTTTAAAGAAATTAAGTAAATGTTATTTCAAAACCACTAAATATAATTAAGGAAAAATTAAGGAAAATTAAGGAAAAATAAGGAAAAATTAAGGAAAAACGGCCCAAACCATAAAATCATGTAACCATAACAACCATAAAAATGTAATCATAAAACCAAAAAATTGTGTGGAATGTCATAAAACTTAACAAAAAATATTTTTCATTTTGCACAATACCTGCCATTAGTGTCCAACCAAGAATAACATACTGCTTATCTTCAGAATTAATATGTTTTTGTAAAAACATATATAATGGCGCCATGACATTCATGTTTACAGTACTACCCTGAACATATGAAAAATTAAAAATTATCTTGTGCCAAACCACTGAACATAATAATTTAATAAATATATCATATTAGAATATTTACAATACAGTATTAATAATTGAACAACAGTTATAAACATGTTTAAAAATATAATACTAGCAATCTAATTATTAAAAATCAAATCTTAAAATTCATTTACATTATTTCCTATTTATTACTATTTCTTTACAAACTTAACTTACAATTCTTGAAAAGCTAAGTTGTAATCCAAAAACCATGTTTAACTCACGCCCTTTGAACCAAGACACAGCATATGTATTTTGGGCTACAGCCAGAGATTCACCACCAATTCTTGTTAAAAATATTAAATGATTAAATACAAACATTAATGAGTGTAAACGTGTGTGTAAAAAGAAATAAAAAAATTTCAATTGTAAGAAAAACTGTAAATCATATATCATAGAACTGTAAATCATATATTATAAAAAAAAGATCTCCTAAAGTCGCTTAGTAAAGTATCAAAGTAACTGTTTTAAGCCAAAATTTTGCATTGTTCCCAAATTTTAGCACAGTAATATTTACAAATTTTGTAGGAAATACTTTAAAACAAATGTTAAAAAAGAAAGTTCTTTTTGCAGAAAATTTCTCATACACTACTATGAGTAATCATGCAGCCAACAGAAGAGTCCAACCCATTTTAATTATCTTGTTTAGCTAATGCATAGTTCAAAGCTTAATCAAGAGGAATATATGTTTCTTAAGAGAAATGTCTTTTTCAAGAAACCATTTTGGAAACACTTAAAACTTCAAGCAAAAATTTTGTATTAAATAAATGTGTGAAGTTTCTGGAAAAACAGTTGTTTCTGATTGGCTAATTGTTATGTAAAAATATGCAAAAAAAAAACCACTAAAAATACTTAATTTGTTATAAAAATATATTAATAAACAGTCATCAAACAACAGTGAATTAAATCCTTAATTACTGTAGAGAAACAGTTAAATCAAGTTACCTTGCAATCTAGACTTGAAAAATTAAATGTAATTTTCACAAAACCTTGTAAAAACATAGTCAGGCGTACTTTTGATATTTTGATACAACTTAGAGAGAATGTTTAAAGAGCTCTTATAAGTGGTGAATGTTTTATGTGTTTTAGTGTCAAGTTGTTTTAAAAACCATTGAAGCTTACTAAAGATAAAGAAAATACTTACTTTAGATTATTTATCTTATTAAATACCATGGAAGTCATTGAGATTATCTGTGAATAATAATGAAGATAATAATAGTAATAATAAAAATAATAATGAAGATAAAAGAGTAAATGAAAAGCTTAAAAGTAAAAAAATAAAAGACTCAAAAAGATTGCTCAGCGAAATCCAAAATTTTTTTTAAAATATCGTTCTTTAATGTGTTTATATAAGTGCGTTAGAGTTTTTTTCTGGGGGTTGAAGCAAAAGTTTTTAAAATTGAACTTAAGCCTATAAAATTTTTTTCTACTAAGTTATTATTAAACAAAATTCATAATACAAACAGAAATAAAAAATATGAACTCCATTTAATTTTATATTAAAACAAGATTCTTCTTTACCTTTCTATATTCTATTCTGTATTATATGATTGGAGTAAAGATAGAATAAATTATAAAGAAAGATAAAGACTTATTATGTAATAATAATAATAATAATAATAATAATAATAATAATAACAACAGTAATAAAAAAACATAAAATTTACGAAAACTATCATTCCTAATAAATATTTCAATACATACCCAAATACAAATCTTCCCATCAACATAAGCCAAAAATGATTAGTTAATGCACCAAGTGCAAAGATAACCTGTATTAAAGATAACCTGTGTTAATATCGACATTTGTATCAAAGATAACCTTTGTCAAAGATAATCTGTGTTAAAGGCACACTGTGTTAAAGATAACCTGTGTTAATAACAACATTTGTATCAAAGATAACCTGTGTTAATAACAACATTTGTATCAAAGATAACCTGTGTTAATGACAACATTTGTATCAAAGATAACTTACATTAAAGATACTTATATTAAAGATTTTTTATAAATAAACAGAAAAATTATAGTTTAATGATTAAATTTATTTAATTTTTTTTTTTTAATTGTGTTAAAAAATTATTAAAAACAATCTTTTTTAAAATTTTTATTTTTTAAATAAAAAAAAATTTAAAGATAAAGATGTGAATGTGAAGAATTAAAAACTTCATTAAATGCAAATATAAAACTATGAAACTGCTTTTAAAAATAATGAACATTAATCAATTTAACAAAAGTTATAATAAAAACCTTTTAACAATGTAGCAATGTAACATCTCATACAAACAATGTAGCATAGTCTACATTGATGTCAATTATTTAATGTATGTTTTTAATAAATTATAACTAATAGATTTTTTTTGTTAGCCAACAGATGTAATTAAAGGTCTATATTAATAACAAACATAAAGAAAGTTCCAAATCAAGTTTCAAAGTTAGGCATGGTTGGCGTTAACAACATAATTATTGTAGTATAACTATTCCAAGATTTCAGTTCTCAAACTTTTTCTAAGGCTTCTCATACAAGTTTTATTCTGCTTGCGTATAAATCACAAATTAATTTTTTATTTTAATTAAGGATTTTATTTGAGAATTTGATTGAATTGTTTCTGATATCTTTTGTTAACAAGAGGCTAAATTAAAGTCTACTAAGTTAACAAAATCCCAGTTGTAATTAAAGTTTTGCACAAACATATAGCTACTATCTTTTTATCTAGTTTTTAAAATTAAAATTTCCAGTTCTTTAATGGGTTTTATTCTTATCTAGCAAAAACCAGTCAAAAGCATTAGGTAGATTTCCAGACAGATATCTAGTACATTGTATTTTTTGATATATAACTTATCGCCTGCAAAGTATTTATTTGACTTGATGCTAATGCACATTTCAAACTATGGGGCAGGCGAGGTTTATAAATCACAATGAAGGCAACTTACCTAGGAAAGGGAAAATTTTTATATAAAACCCCTAGTTTAATTGTAGGTAAGTATGTGTAACTTTTATATTGTGGAAAATACTCTATAATGAAGAACAGCAAGTTGTAAAAATTAATTTTGAGATTAACATCTTTTTTTTTAAAGTTGCTGTGAAGATAAAATTTAATAATTTAATTAAAAAGATGATTGGTATATCAAGATAAGTAAGCTAGATGCAATTATGCAGTATAAATACATCTTTAAGTTTTCAAATTACGATTCTCATTTTACTTTCAAATTCAAATGTTTTATAAGAATATTTTGGAATCAATTTATTAAATTACCAATTACGAATATCTACAAATAATGAAAACCCCGTAAATAATTTATGCCAATAATTAACTTTTAAGGCCTAATAATCAATTAACTATTTACAAAAGATGCAATTTTTTAAAAGATCACAATAAAATTGGAGTTTCAATTTCATGAAATATGATGGCTACCTAGCTACAAATGTTTAACTTGAATTTTGAAATGTTTTACATAAAAATGAAAAACCATTAAATAAATAGTTTGCATTAAGGTAAACAAAAAAGTTAAGCTAGTTTAAGATTTTATGATTTTCAGTATTTTGGTCTTGGTCAGTATCAGTCTGTTATTTTGGTCATGCGACTGACAATGTATTCAATTTGTAATACTAAATGTTGGATATAACAGAAAGTTACTAAGGTTAAAGCAAACTCAAGGTAACTGATATTTTGTTCTGAATTCCTTTAGATATTATATTGGGTAAAATATCTTAACTAAAAGTAGAAGTATTGTTGTTAATGTTAATAAAAAAATTATTATTACTATTTTTATTGTTATAATTATTATTGTAATTATTATTATCATTATTTAAATTAACTTACATTGTTAATTTTAACTCAATGTTTTTTGCAAACTTTCATCTATTGAGTATAAACATTTTAACAAAATATAAAAGTTATTTAACATACCTGACCAAGAAATACAAATGAACTGAAAATAATTGCACCAAGCCTGAAAAATATTAAATAATTAAAAATAAAAAATATTAAATAAATAAAAATAATTGATTTTTTTGATTTATTTAAAAAACAATAACAAATAACTCACCTAATTCCAAACACTCTATCGATAAGGAAGCCACCAAAAAAGCAGAGAACAACATTTGGCCAAGAATATAATGAGTACAACAACATATAATTTGCAGTATTTAATTTCATATCCTTAATAAAAAGTTGAATCACAATTTTATTTAAATTTCAAAAATGCTAAACCAAAAATAAGCCTAAATTGTCTTTAATAAAAAGAATAAACTTCTTTCAGTTATTAAAAAAAAAAAACTATTTTATTTAATCTACGGGAAACATTTAAAAGAACAAAAATATTAATTTTATCACTTTATTTTACTTCAGTATTCAGCCTACGTAAAAATGGAATTTTAAGTCAATATAATACTTTTAAATTTATAAAATGTTCCACTGCTTGATTTCTACAAAAAAATTTTAATACTGAAAATTTTTTGAGAGTTTTCACTAATAAAACAAAATTTAAAAAATTCTTAATTATAAAACAAGCAAAACTAATTTACATCAAAACTTTGAAATACCTTTATTTTGAAAACAAATAGAAAATTGATTTTTTTTTTCAACTTGAAATATTAAAAATTGCAAAATTTTTTGTTTAAAAATTGTTATTTACAATCTTCTCAGCATTATAGCATTTGAAACACAACACTTGACAAATTTTCTGCATTATAGAGTTGACCTATAATTGATTGAAACACTTAACACTAATGATTATATGCTAAATGATTTTTAAAATTTGTAAAAACCATATAAAATTTTAAAAGCCAGTACAAAAATAAGGAACATTTTTTGCTATTTTTTTTATTGGCTCTCTCTTGAGAAAAAATCTTATTATTTTAAGAAATCAATGTAAAAAATGCTGTCTAAAATAAAATTTAAATGCTTTCAGTTCACCAAACCTTGTATTTTATCTTAGAAATTAGATTCTAGAAAATTTTGGAAAATCTTTAAGAGTCTCATTAATAAAGGTAAGTTCCATCTCTATTACATAGGTCTGACCTTATTACATCTTCCAAGAATAACAAGAGACAAGAGCTGTTTGCAAAGAACTTTTTCTTTACTTTGAATTCTAAATCTAAATCAGCTTCTTCTTGTCATTACAGAGAAAGAGGTTAAATAATTGTTAGACATCCAAATTACTTCAGCTTTCATTGCTAAATTTATTATAATTTTTAATTATTACTGCTTGTAGTCTTGACTATATTCAGACTGCACACATTACATAAATAAATGTACAAGGGTGTCTTTCAAAAGTGTTCTCCAGAACTCTCTTCGATACTCTCTAAACTATTTAATAAGTGCTTAACTATTAATATTAGATTTAAAAACTTGATAACAATTACAAATTGATAATAATTACAAACAATTACAATAAATAAATTATGAAATATATTGACTGAATCTTATATATTTTTTACATATATGTTCAGGATGCCAATATTGTATGCCATAGTAAAGCAAAGATAGATAGGCTTTTGCATTAACATTGCTAAATACTGACCTGGATTTTACTAGCTGTTAATTAATAATATATTTAATATAATATAAAAACTTTCAAACAAACTATAAACTTACTTTTTCAATATATTCTTGCAAAGCAGCAGGATTGTCAAAGCAAAAGTAACTACCTAGGTTACAATATAAAACAATAGTCACTGCCTAGTCTACAAAACTTTTCAGAATTTATTACATTAAATATTTAATTCAAGTAAAATTTATTATAAAACTATTAAAAGTATTTATTGTAATTAAACTTAGAACAATTGAAATTTTAGCAAACCCATTGCAACCAATTTTTTTTGAAAATTGGTTGGTTACAATGGTTACTAAAGGTTGGACAAAACATTTGCAACCAACATCAAACAATGCTAAAAAGTGTTCCTAATTTACATGTCTCAAAAACGAAACGAATTATTCTACCAAAGCAAACAGTTCAGGAGTCTGGAGTCATAGCATGCCATGAGCAATCAGCTGACAGGTGACAGCACACAGGTAGAATTTCGTCAATAAGTGCCTTGAAATATTGATAGCGAAATACAGCTTGGTCATTATTTTGTGGAGTTGCACTTGTTATGTCCAGAAGGAAATCAAGTTTTTTTAATACTTTTGATTAATTCATTAATTTTCGTGTACAAATAATGAACTTTGTGATAAATAAAACTTGAAGAACGTTGCACTTGTTTTGTTCGATACTGTGTGTGTGTGTGTGTGTGTGTGTGTGTGTGTGTGTGTGTGTGTGTATATATATATATATATATATATATATATATATATATATATATATATATATATATATATATATATATATATATAGAGAGAGAGAGAGAGAGAGTTTGAAGAAATGTTCTTAGTAGTTAATTTGATACCAAATTTGACAAAGAGCTATAAAAACTTTTACTACTTATAAAAAAATATTTTATACTTTCTTACTGTAATAGAAAATTTAAGATTCCACAATAAAAGTATTTATATAATTACAATTTTTTTTAGCAGAATATTTCATTGTACATTATATTTTTTTATTTTGTTCTAATTGAAACAAATTTATTTAATACATAATAACTCATCAGGGGCGGATGCAGGATTTTTTGAAGTTTGAGATAACTAACTTCCAGACATGAAGCGAACTCAAAACTTTTATATGTTTATAGTTATATCAAATAAGGATACTTTGCATAAAATTGAGATGATAGGAGCCTGGGAACAAAAAAGCCCCAAAATTTTTGCTACACCTGCCCCAAACGTGAGAGCAACAAGTTGATAAAATAATTTTTTTACTATTCTCAACTAAATCTATATTCATCAAGAATTTTTAAAATTCATACAATAATCTCTTAACGTTCAAAAGTTATAGCCACATAAAGTTTGAATCCCCCTCAATTTGAGGGGGTTACAAGTTTTATAAGACCATTATTATTGAACGCTAAAAGATTGTTTTACAAAATTAAAAATTTCTCGATGAATATAGATTTAGTTGAGAAAAGTAAAAAACTTATTTTATCAACTTGTTGCTCTCACGTTTGGGGCAGGTGTAGCAAAAATTTCGGGGCTTTTTTGTTCCCAGGCTCCTATCATCTCAATTTTTTGCAAAGTATCCATATTTGATATAACTATAAACATATAAAAGTTTCGAGTTCGCTCCATGTCTGGAAGTTAGTTATTTCAAACTTCAAAAAATCCTGTATCCGCCCCTGCTTATACATAATATAAAAACTATAATTTAGTGCGTAGTAATTTTATATTATGTATATATAATATAAATGATTAAACTAACTGATTTTTTTAAGAAACCAATCAGTTAATCCAATCTAATTAAAAACATTTGCTGTTCAACTGATGCTCTTTTTAATTTTTGTTATTGTAATAAGCCTACCTTTACAAAAGCATTGCAGTTTATTATGCAATTATTGGTTTATTTAGAAAATAACTATTTTGCGTATATCATCTAAAATACAACAATAATACTTTTCTTTTATAAACAACTTAGCAAACATGACCATATTGTTAATAATGCTATAGTCATATTAAACCAAGGATTTAAGGAAAAAAATCTCTCTGTTCTCTACATAGTAAAGAAAAATCGCTAATTCTATTATAACTGTAATAGTATTATATTATGCGAATAGAAATATTACATAACTATAACTGTATTATAGTTATGTCATATTTCTATTCACATTTATAATACTAAAATTCTGGTTTACTGAAAACAAAATTGTTGTAGTATAAAATAACTTATAAAGTTGACAAGTTCTTAGCCATTTTTATAGTATAATAGCCATTTGTATAGCACAATAAAAAAATCAGTGACTGTTATGCATAAAAAATAAACAACCACATTTTGTAAGGAAAGAACTTTTTTAATATTCCATGTAGTTGCATAAGAATAATAAAAAATTGACTTATAAAATAGAGAAGAAAAAAAAGTGGTTTATATGTATAAAACAATTATATATGTATCATAGTTTCCTGCCGAGGCAGGAAACTAGAGGTTTAGCTCTCGCTCTTGTGCACACTTCCCTAAAACGGTTTGCGATAATTCCTAAAATACCTGCATTCTATTACAGTAAGAAAATATAAAACATTTTTTATAAGCACAGGCCTTTGCATAAGAGGCATATAGTCACACCCCTTTTATGACTATGCATATGATTGCAAACCCATTGTAACCAAATGTTACTTAATTTTGACAACTTGGCCAAGGCTCTTTAAATGTTTTGACAATAAGCGCTTTTAAAAAATGCGCTGAAAAAAACATAGCAAACATAAATTTAAAAAAATCCATAAACTGAAAAGAGAATAAAACCTAAAAAAATAATAATACAAAAATTAAACTAAAAATATAAAAGTTTTAAAGAATAACAAAACATTTAGAAAAAAAAAAAAAATAGAAAAATTAAAACACTTATTATTTAATGTAAACTTAATTATAAATGAAAGTTAAAAAAAAAAATTCATTACAGCTCTATCAATCTTTATCAACCTTATCGCACTTTGCAAATGTGTAAAAAAAAAAGTTAAATAAAAAAATATTTAAATTTATTAGGCATCTTTGATATATTCAATAACTTATTAACTAGAATTTATTTGAAAATAAAATTATTTGAAAATAAAACTCCTTTATTTTGACATAAATCTCTGAAATTAGTTCACCAATAAATAAAGATATCAATGAATGCCTTTTATTACTTTTTATTTATTATTTATTTTTTATTTAAATTTTATAAGCGACGACTTTAAACAACTATTGTCTCTTTAATAAACTTTATTTAAGAATCATTTAAGTTAATACACTTGAAAATATTTTATTGAGTAGTAAAAAAAAAATCGTTTTAATAAAAGACAGCCGTTTGAATTAAATAACTTTGATCTTTACTAATGTTTTTATATTATTAAAACGCTTTTTTAAAAAGTAACAACTCACTGCTAATGATTTTTTAGATAAGGTATTAATATATTTTTCTTTAGTTTTTAAATAAAAAAATTACTGAATAAAGTTTATATACTCGAAATATAACAAATTTTTTTTTGCAAGAATGTAAGTTTAAAAAAATATATATATATATATATATATATATATATATATATATATATATATATATATATATATATAATTTTTTAAATAATTTTTTTTTCTTTAGTCTTTAAATAAAAAAAATATCAATTAAAGTTTACAAATTATATTACTAACTAATCAAATTAAATTACCAATTAAAGGAATAGTTTTGTTCATTATTTTTTGTTTTCATCTTCATTTTTTTTTTCATTTGCTTTCTGACATTTGCTTTCTGACAGAAGAAACGGTTTAATTATTTTTCTTTTGTTTACATTAATACAAAGAATTGTAAAGTTTTTTTCTGTTGTTGTTATCTTTTAAATGTGCGTATTTATAAAAAAATCGTTGAAAGTTGTTCCTTTATTTAAAAGGATTTTGCTTAGTCTATATAATAAAAAAAAAAAACATTACTTTTGTTCCAAAGCCAGCCGTCATTTTTGTGAAACACGTTTCCCCCCCTCCCTCCCCCTCAAAAAAAAAAAAACATTAAAAAAAGTTTCCTCATTAAGTTAAAACGTTTTTTTAAAAAATACCACTAATGCGCAATGATGCTTTTTATATATTTTTTATACTATACTATTTTTTATTTTTTAACCAATAATATAATTTTATATGGTGCAGTAACAAAGCAAACAGGAAACTACTAGTTTTACATTATAAAAACATTAGTAGAGATTCAAAGTTATTTTATTTCAAACGTAATAATAAATGTAATTTGAATAATCTTATTATTTATTATTTATTTTAGTTAAGTTTTGTTTTTGTTATTTTTATTTTTGTTTTAGTTATTTATTACTAAGCTATTTTTATTTTATTTTTCATTTTTTTAAGAAGATTTTTTTTAGAAGATTTTTTAAAGATATATATATATATATATATATATATATATATATATATATATATATATATATATATATATATTCCTGATATATATGTATGTATGTATATATATATATATATATATATATATATATATATATATATATATATATATACATATAAATATATATATATATATTTATATGTATTTATATATATATATATATATATATTTATGTATTCAACCCAATATTGATACCAGTATACTGATGAGGGTATCCCAAATAATCTGCCTAAACTTTTATTTATTGTAGATTCAAAACATAATTGTTATAAAGTTTTTTTTTTTAGGTAGTATCAAGTAAAGCATTAATACAACATTTTTATATTGGATAAATATTATGACTTTTTATAAAAAGATTCTTCCTTTAATCTCCTTTTGTCTGCTTTTTAGGAGAAAGAGATCACATCATCATATTACTATTTACTGCAGGGTTGGTACCCAAAAACCCAAATCCAAAAACCCAAGAGCAAAAACCTATCAAAAACCCAACTTAATAGGTTTTTGGTCTTAAATTTTATATTTGTAATTATTTTGTTCATAAATTAATTTCCATTCACACAGATTTGATGCTGCTCAAAAATTGTTTTAAAAATAAGAATTTCATGAATGAGAATTTTTTTTATTTGGACCAGTAATATTCAAACTTAAAGGCTTAAAACAAAGTTATTTAACAATTTAGTCATCAGTAA